GACACTACATCAATAATACATCGGAATCAAGCTATTACAAACCAATAAAGTTAATGACAATCAATGAAAGAAGTTTAAACTGTTTCAACTGTCATCACTTGCTTGGATATTAATATAAAGTAAATGTATATGACTTGGCAGTTTTACGTCTTTCTTAAATAATGAAAAGCTTATACAAATTCTCTCTAATATGTGAAAGTAAAAATGATAACAGAGATTAAATAAAAGCTATTTATTTGAAATTAGCACCTCATTAATTCAGCTAATAATTTATAGCCAGAAAGTTTGTTTATTTAAATCGACTATCGCAGTATAATATAATAAAACGCGAATAAAGAAACCAAACTTGACTAATCATATTTGACAAAACAGAAGTAAGAAGTTTCTAATTTTGGAAAAAAATATCTTTGAAATAAAAATATATTGCAATAAATCTGCAATTTACTCATAAATATGTACTTTAAAAATGACTACCGCATCCAATGTGACATGTGCGCATCTACTTTTGCTGTACTATAAATTTGAAGTACTTAAAACATACTTGCATTATTTAGTACTTTTTCATTGTTTCTAAATGGTAGTTCTGTTTCAGTATTATAAAACTGAACTTGTACTGCAACTGTAAATTAACGGTTTTGAACCTGTCCAGATTTTTAAACTAGTACACAATTAATATTTTCTATCAAATTATATAAGTAATAGTTTGAAAAAGTACTATATTTTTATTGTATCTTTATAGTACTAAACTACGTGGGTACTTCAAATTAGTTTTACAAATTTAGTACTGTCAAATTATGCCATCAATATAGTACAATACTTTGAAAGTACTACATAACTGCTACATGTCAGTACTATAAAGTAATAGTATTGAGAAAGTGCAAAAGTAGCTTTGTACTATTCGAACTCTTGGTAACATTGGATGCTGACTTAATGAGATGAAGAATTTGAACTCATGGTAACATTAGATGGTGTTTAAATGAGATGTAGAATTCGAACTCATGGTAATATTAGATGGTGTTTTAATGAGATGTAAAATTCGAACTCATTGTAACATTAAATGGAGTTTTAATGAGATGTAGAATTCGAACTCATGGTTACATTGTATAGTGATCTATGAGATGTAGTATTCAAACTCTTGATTAAATTGGATGGTGACTTAATGAGATGTTGTATTCGAACACTCAATTATATAGTATAGGTTGGTGATTTGATGAGGTGTGGTATTCGAACTCATGAATACATAAGATTGTGGTTTGATGAGGTGTACTATTATCACTCTTGGTTAAACTAGATGATGATTTATTGAGATGTAGTATTCGAACTCTTGGTTATATTTGTTGATGGTTTGATGAGGTGAAGTATTCTCACTCTTTGTTACATAAAAAGTAAAATAACAGAAATACTGAACTCCAAGGAAAGTACTTAAGCAAAGGGCAAAATCAAAAGCTCAAACACACCAAACGAGATGGAATACTACTGTCATATTATTTACATCGACAGGTGATTTAATGAGATGTAGTATTCCAACTATTGGAGGTAGACTTTTTCAACAAATTGTCGGCATTCCCATGGGAACGAACTGTGCGCCTCTCTTTACCGACCGCTTCATATTTTCATATGAGTCGGAGTTCGTTCAGAGTTTTGTCAAAAACTAAGAAGATCAAAGAAGCCAGATCATTAATTTCTCATTCAGATATATTGATGATGTTCTTTCCATTAACAATCTAAACTTTTCTGATTGGGTTCCATTGATGTATCCTCCAGAACTAGAAATTAAAGAAACAACAGACACGGCTTCGTTCGATTTATTTTTAGACTTATACTTCGAATTTGACATCAGCGGTCATCTCAGTACCAGAATCTATGACAAACGAGACGATTTTAATTTTGAAATTATCAATTTCCCCCCACCTTAGTAACAATATACCAACTTTACCTGTATATGGAATATACATTTCCCTACTCATTCGGTATTCAAGAGTTTGCAGCTGCTAGCCAGACTTTATAAAGCGTCACCAGTGTGTGAGCAGAAAGTTGATGAACCAGCGTTATGTCAAAGAACGTCTCGTCCTTTTTCTAAAAAAGTTCATCGGAAGACCTTGTTGATAAATATTTCGTTTCAACTTCACAAATAATACATGATGGTCTTGAAGTATAGATTCTAAGTACTGACTTGTTTATCATCTTAATTTCGTCTTACATTGTTCTTTTAATTTGTAAATTATTAACCTTTACTGTTAAGTACATTATTGGTAATATCCTTTGGCGTGGCTTGGTACTTATGCATCTCGCCAATGTGTTGTTGTGCTGTGGTCATTTTTTGTATTCTTGTCTTTTCATATTTGCTTATGTGCTTTGTCCATATGCCATTTTGTTTTTCATTTTTGACATATTTGTTTGTTTTATAGTGATTAAGATTATAACACAATGTTGACTGCTGTATCCCTATTTTTGACATTTTTACCAATTATGTCTGTTTGTTTTGTTCACACATTGTTGTCAATATAATGAAGTTTTAAGCCACTGTCATACAAGTGAGAGGTTGAGCTAGCTATAAAACCAGGTTTAATCCACCATTTTCTACATAACAAAATGCCTGTACTAATGTCAGGAATATAAGAGTTTTTTTTTTCATTTGTTTGATGTGTTTGAGCTTTTGATTCTGCCATTTGATAAGGGACTTTCCGATTTGAATTTTCCTTGGAGTTCGGTATTTTGTTATTTTACTTTTTGGTAACATTGGATGGGGAATTCATGAGGTGTAGTATTCGAATTTTTGGTTAAGTTGGTTGATGAAGTCTTACGTTTGATTGTATCAGTTTTTTATGGATTTCCACTTCTTGAACTGAGCTTGTAGTTTTTTTGTTATACAAATTTGGATGGTAGTTTAATGATATTTAGTATTCGAGCTCTTACTTACATTTGATGTTGTTTAATTGAAATATGATTTTAAATGATTTATTTCTTTGAAACATTGAATGATGGTTTGGGGAGATGTAGTAAGTGAAGAATTCGAGCTCTTGGTTACATTGAATGGTGATTTAATTTTATGTAGTATTCGCATTCTTCATGGGTTACGTTGGTTAATGAAGTCTTACGTTTGATTTTATCAGTTTTTATGGATTCCCACTTCTTGAATTTAGCTTGCATTTCGGTATTTTTAGTATACAATTTTGGATGGTGGTTTTAGGAGATCAAGTATTCGAGCTCGATCTTGGTTATATTGGATGTTGTTAAATGAGATATGTTTTTAAATGATGTTTTTCTTTGTAACATTGAATGATGGTTTAAGGAGATGTAGTATTTGAACTCTTGGTCAAATTGGACTCTGGTTTAATGAGAGGTAGTTTATTAATTACTTCTCGCGACATTTAGATGTGGTTTAAATAGATGTAGAATTCAAACTCTTGCTGACATTGGATGGTGATTTATTGAGCTGTTGTTTTCGAACTCTTGGTTACATTGGATGGTGATTAAATGAGATGTAGATTTTGAACTATTGGTTAGATTGGATGGTGATTTAATAAGATGTAGTATTATAACTCTTGGTTACATTGGATGGTGATTTAATGAGATGTAGTAATCGAACTCTTGGTTAAATTAGATGGTGTAGTATTCGAACTTCTGGATACATTGGATGCTGATATAATGAGGTGTTATATTCGAACTCTTGATAATATTTGATGATGATTTAGAGTGATGTAGTATTCAAACTCTTGCTAACATTGAAGTTGGCTGAGGAAGAGGTTGCATTTGAGTAATTTGAGTATTGTCCAAATATTCACCAATATTCACACAAAACAAATGATTGAAAAGCTTTTTATAAAGTATTTCACTGTTTACGTCGATATTTTGAAGCTAGATTTTCCACATTGTGTAATATGATAGAATATTGCACGCTAAGTTTTCGTTATGTTCTGTGGGAAATGTTATGTTGCTATACCATTACATTTTTCATTAAATGAAATTAAATTTATATCATTTCTTTATTATTTATCACCACTGCAGTCGCAAAACTTTAAATTTATTTGACAATTAAAAGTTCATAAACATTTTGTTTTTGAAGAATTATCTTGGCACAAAAACTGTTAAAACAATTCTCATATTTTAAAATTGAAACGCCAAAAACAACATTATATTTTCCGTTCTATGCATCCTGCGATACGTTTTGTATTCCGAACAACATAGCTTAATTACACGCATACTCAAACAGAAAAGGATGTATTTAATTTCTTGCAAGTGACAATTCAAGCTTTATCTCGCACTACATGTATTTTGACCTTAATGTAGCTGGGGTGTCATCCTCCATCTTGGATTTTGAAATAGCAGATAACAATCGGTCTAGATCTTTAATGCAAATGTGCAAATTTCGAGAATAGTATGTAATTCAAGTGTAAGACTTGTCATGTTAATATGGAAAATAATGTGTTTTATCATAGTTACGGCTGTATTTTACAAAAAACAGAATATTTTTGTTTGATTCATTTTTTTTCCAAATTTGCCACATAAGGGTCGATAACTCAGATATAAGGGGACATATCTCAGATAAAGTAACTTTTATAATAGAATGTATTGTGCATTTACCTATTTTATTATGTAGCAAGAAAACAAGTCCGGTGACCCCATTTTTTCTTTATCTTATCTGTAAGCATATTATTAGAGCTATCTTCTCATATTTTATCTAAAAATTCTATGGTGTAGTTTTTTTTATCACACAAAATTGGGTTTTCCATGCATAATCTATACAAAATCTGACAATTTTGCACAACCTGTAGCGTGATCAAAATCCCGGTGACCCATACATTTTATTATATTTTTGAAAAAAAAGTATGACATAAACTACATTTTGACAAGGTTCTGAATCGATATCGATATTCAACCAAACAGTAAATGTTTTCATTTTAAGTATTTTTTTTCACTGGCCAACACGTATTACATATCTTGTAGATGCTAACCGTAGTTTTCCCGATCCATATTAATTCCTGCTTTTTAAATTTTAGCCTTTTCTTTACATTCACACCACCCTAGACTTTTGCCTGTTAATACAACCGTGACTTTTCACAGAGAGGAAACTGCCATCCTAGAGTGTGCAATAGACCATTTAGGAACGAAAACAGTAAGTTATATATATATATATATTTTATATATAATTTTAATTAGAAAACCTAAGTCAATCAAGAATGTGTACTAGTTAAAATGCAATAAACATCTGAATAAAACAACATTAAGAGTTCCGATGCCAGATGAAAAAAGAACAAGAAAAAATATCATACCTAGAGGGAACTCCAACCATATGTTGGTGCTGCAGCTGGATATTCCCCCCAATGACTTTAAAACACTGTTAAAAACAGAATTAAACAAGTTACTAACGTGTACTTGGTGGTGTTGTTCGGAAAATGGAGTCTTTCGCCATTAGCTTCTGTCATATATAGGATCGGCCCATAATCATATTTCAATATATAAAAGATTCACAAACTATGCAAAGTTGTTTTATTATGAATTTACACAATTTTAATGAATTGATATGTTATTTTCCACGGCAAAGTCTCGATTACTATTAACCAAATAAAACCACTCGGAACTTGTAATCAACAAATAATGGCATCGTTACAGTGGTAGTAATTATTTTCAAGTCCTTTACTGATACTTAAATCAGATATTGTTAATGCAAAAAAGCTTGAATAAAATGGTTGGATACAAGAACGAAAATGCAAACGAGGATACACATGAAACTTAAAATAATTTCGATAATCTGAAAAGGACGACTCGATTCGAGCGCTCCAACCATTTCCAAAAGCAGCTGTAAAATATCCCTATCATCTGTAACATATATGTCATACCGTCATAGTGGCAGCTCCAATTACTCCAAATTGCAGTAATAAAATATCATTATTATCTGTTAACATATATTTCATACCGTAATAGTGGCGGCTCCAATCACTTCCAAAAGGAATTGTTCAATATCCTTATCATCTGTTAACATGTATGCCAAACCGTCATAGTGGCAGCTCCAATCACTTCCAAAAGTATCTGTTCAATATCCCTGTCATTTGTAAACATATATGTCACACAGTCAGAATGGCAGCTGCAATCACTTACAAAAGTAGCTGTTCAATATCCTTAGTATCTGTCAGCATATATATCACACCGTTATAGTGGCAGATCCAATCACTTCCAAAAGTAGCTGTTAAATATCCTTAGCATCTGTTAACATATTTGTTACACCGTCAAAGTGGCAGCTTCAATCACTTCCACAAGTAGCAGTTCAATATCCTTCTCATCTGTAAACATGTATGTCATACTGTCATAATGGTAGCTAATCACTTTCATTTATTAGCATACATGTATATGTCATACCGTCAGAGTAGCAGCTCCAATCACATCCAAAAGTAGCTATTTAACGTCCCTTTTATCTGTTAACATATATCATGTATATGTCACACCATCAGCGTGGCAGCTCCAATCACTTCCAAAAGTAGCTGAGCAGTATCCTTATCATCTGTAAACATAAATGTCATACCGTGAGAATGGCAACAGGCTATTTCTAACGGAATAAAGAATATTATGTATTCCAAAAGGAACAGATATTATGGCATTGTTTATAGCAAGGTTTCGATGGGCACTTCTCTTAGGCGGAACAAATATACGTTGATATACAATATAAAATTGAGAATGGAAATGGGGAATATGTCAAAGAGACAACAACCCGGCCAAAGAGCAGATAACAGCCGAAGGCCACCAATGAGTCTTCAACACAGCGAGAAAATCCCGCACCCGGAGGTGGTCCTTAGCTGGCCCCTAAATAAAAATGTGTAATAGTTCAGTGAAAATGGACGTCATACTAAACTCCAAAACATATAAATGATCTAAAATTAAAAAAAAAACATACAAGACTAACAAAGGCCAGAGGCTCATGACTTGGGACAGCCGCAAAAATGCGGCGGGGTTAAACATGTTTTGTGAGATCTCAACCCTCCCTCTATACCTCTAGCCAATGTAGAATAAAGAAACACACAGTGATCCACACAGTAAAACTCAGTTTAAAAAAAGTCCGAGTCCGATGTTAGAATAGGTAACAAAAGAAACTTAGCAAAATGACAATGATATATAAATTAACAAATGACTACTTTACTAGCAGTTACTGACATGCCAGCTCCAGACCTCAATTGAACTGATTGAAAGATTATGTCTCCATCATATGAAAATCAAGTACAATCCCTCCCGTTAGGGGTTTAGGATCATGCCATCATAAAATATATGAGAAGAACATAACCCGTATCATGCCAACAACTGGTTTTAGAATAAATGTGTTTATTTCCGATGCAAAGACCATATGAGTGAATCAATATTAATACCAACATATGCAATCCTTAATGACTTGACAACAGTATCGTAACTATATCCCTTCCGAATAAGTCTGTTTAAAGGTTTGGTTAGCGTTTGAGGTGAATGCCGACATTTTGTGCTATGTAAAAAATATTACCATGAAAGATTGGATGTGAAATACCTGAACGTATAAGACGTCTGCATGTTAATTTATATTTACGAATGATGTCCTTGTACTGATGATAAAATTTAGTAAATGTTTTGACTAGTAGTGATATCGAAAACCCTGGTGTAATAATTTTTCAGTAATACAGAGATTTCTTTCGTTAAAATCAAATACGTTGTTACAAACACGAGCGAATCGAACAAGTTGAGATATATAAACACTATAAGATGGTGGCAAGGGAACGTCACAATCTAAAAATGGATAATTAACAATAGGAAATGAAAAATCATCTCTTTTGTCATAAATTTTGGTATAAAGCTTCCCGTTAAAGATATAAATATCAAGATCTAGGAAAGGGCAGTGTTCATTATTAGTATTAGCTTTATTTAAGGTCAGTTCGCCAGGATAAATCTCTTTAGTGTACATACTGACGTCGTCATTATTGAGAACCAATATATCATCTAAATATCTAAAAGTGTTATTAAATTTTTGAATCAGATGTTGTTTCGATAGGTCTTTGCTGATTTTAGTCATAAATTGTAACTCATAACAATACAGAAACAAGCCTGTATGAAGTATGCCTCTTACGAGTAAAGGTATAATTCTGCAGGAAATAAATGCAGTACTCTTCCATATATAGAAAAAAGATTTTAAAAACTTGTCCACAAAATATGACACATATGCTGCTAACTAAAAAAAATGAATGTCACTTTCAGATAATTTTTCGTATAAATTTGGTTTTTGTTGGTTTTTGTTGTTTTTTTTTTTGGGGGGGGGGGGGGGTATATTTAGGTAGGTTAGCTTAATTAACTTGCAAAGTAGTCAAACTATTGATATCATTTTAAATATCTGGTTCAAGGTAACATGTCGAAAACTGTGATATATACATACAACAGCAGGAATTATACGTTAAATATCTGTTTTAAGGTATCCTGGCGAAAGCTTCCATACATAACCCCAATAACAACCGGAGTAACACGTTTTGCACAAGATAGCAGGTATGAAGCAGTTCACGTTCCCTGGAAAAAACAGTGGAATTTAAGCATCAAAAGCGTGCAGTTACATGATGCCGGTGTATATGAATGTCAAGTTGGAACCCATCGAAAAATGTTACGACAAAAAATAACGCTGCATGTAATAGGTGAGTGTGTAATTACAATAATTATCCTATATCAGTATTTGGTGACAGCAACTTATAACATTTCTCTAACATTTATTCTTGTATTTTTCTCAGGCGCATTTCACATATCTGTAGTCATGTTGCTAAAACCATTCCAGTTCAAATTTAAATAACAGTAGACAAGAGTTCTCCGAACGTACGTTACATGCACACGTGGATGGATGACTAGATTATGGGTTTATTAAGTACACATAGTTCTAAACTGAAGCAGTATTATGTGTCGGCATTCACTCATCTAATTTTGCATTAGTATAAGTTAGATGTAAGAACAATCGACGTGTATATTACGCCTTAAATGGATAATCAAACAGAAGACAAAGTAATTGAATGCAAAATACATTAAAGCAATTATATAAAAAGATACACACATATACAAAATATAGATAACAAATTGAACTGTGAGAGTATTCGGTAAACAGGAAATTATTGATGAGCATTGGAAAAGAAAACTGTTTAACATGATAACATGAAAGTGGATGGCGAAATTAACGATGCTCTCGTTGGTAGTACTTGATGAAAATGTGATAAAAATTTCATAAACGTCCATTATGTGTAGGCTTATAAGTTTGGGGTAAACATAGTGAAAGTGAAATGCATCACACAGCATAGGATCCTTTCTGATTTATAGTTCCTGAGAAACATGCGTCATAACATGGAACGGACAAAGGGACGGACGGTCATACAGACATGGGTACGATAGTATACCCACTACCTTGTAGCGGAGACATAAAAGAGAGGCGAAATAATACCAAAGGGACATTCAAACTCATAAGTCGATAAAAAACGGACAACGCCATGACTAAAAAAGAGAGCAAATGACAAACAAAAGAATACAAAACACAACATAGAAAACTAAAGACTGAGCAACACGAACTCCACCTAAAAAACCGGGGTTGATCTAAGGTGCTCCGGAATAGTAAGCAGTTCCTGCTCCACTTGTAGCACCCGCCGTGTTACTCGTGTAAGTACAAACTCGGCCATAAGTCTAATTCCGTAGTTAACACTCCGGAAAAAGGAGGACGGTATTGTAGGTAGGACGATTGGAAGATATTCGTCGTCATCTGTGAAACAGATATTCCATTACGGTAAACCAACTCGTGATGGCGTCCGTAAAATTTTCGAAGGGATGATTTCATCTTCACCACTTGGAACTCTTGGTTTGATAGCTTTCTTCTGAGCGTCATGTAAGATTACAATTCTATTTATTTAACTTTAATCTGGACAATATTGAACATCAGAGGCAGCAGCAGAAAAAAAAGCTTTCAAAGATAGACTAGCAAAAAATTAAAATCACATTTATTAAAACAAAATGCAACTTTCTTGTCTACATTTACATTACAGATGCTGTTTTATTTAGGAAAGCTGGTATGTTGTTAATTTATTTAAATCATTTAAATATAAAGGGGGCGGCACATTTTTATTTTATATTTTTCATAAATTCCGAAACATGAACATGATAAACATGCGTTTATCTTTAAATTTATGGAGTTATTATCTTTTGTTTCATTGTTGGAAATACTAGGTTTACCTTAGCTGTAAAATGCTACGCACCTTATCTGACCGCTTCTTTTTTGATAATGAAAAGTTAGATACATACCATTTTTGTCACAAACAAACCGCATAAACTTTAGAGAATTAGAGTTACCGGTAATATTATTTATATAATTCAAAAAGAATGTCATATACCCTTGGTCTAATATATATGTCATCATGAAAATTTGAACTCATACCAGTGTTGTCCCACCCAAGTAGTACTGACATACCTTGTTACTAAGTAAGAAAAATCTCAGAAAAAAATACCAACACAAAAAGATAAATACCGTCTGAAGGACATGTGAATATACAATTAACTGACATTATCTAAAATTAAATTAATTATACAATTAAAATAAGTCTTATATTGAAAAGAATGAGAATCAAAATACAGAAAACGATTTTTTTTTAATTTTTTTTATATTTTTTATTTGTCAACTGAATATGTTCATGTTCTGCTTTGTATCAGACACTTATTATTTTGTTCAAAAACACCTTTATATTGTTATAGAAAATATGTATTACAACATTTTGTTATATATTTGATGAAATTTGTTTGTAGATATAAGGATAACAGGAACACAGTTTCCAGAAAAAGGAGGTATTATGTTTCTATTTTGTAATGCAACAGGCAGGAAACATGCTCCCAATAGAATCGATTGGTTTAAAAATGGAGAGAGACTGTTTTCTGAACGATCAGAGAAAATGTCAATTAAAAAGACTATATCTATTGATACCGGTGTCATGACCAGCTCGTTAGTAATAACAGATGTACACCGTAGAGATAATGGGACGTATGTCTGTAGAGCAACTAGTCTGGAGGATGAAACCCTCATAACAAGTTTGAAGGTTAATGTTTCAAATGGTATGTAGCCAATATTATCATCTCGTTATTATACTTTGATAATCATGTTTTTGTATTGTACGAGGACAGGCGTTTCTCAGACTCAATCTTAGGGAGCTACCATTTGAATTTTAGGGGGGGGGGGGGTGGCGAGGGGGGCTAGGATGAAATTTGAAAAAAGGCAGGACAGAAGTTTTGAGTAAAAAAAAAGCAGGATGAGCAACCTGGAAAAAAAGGCAGGATGACAATTTATGTAAAAAAAGTCAGGATAAACTAATAAAAAAGTCAGAACCGAATAGAGTGAAAAATAAAAAGGCAGGACAGAGATTACAACTAAAAACAAATGCAGGACAAAATTTTTCATCCTAGCCCCACTTGGGTTTTACTGTCGCAAATTGAGTTTACCTCGTCGTATGAATACGGCCAATTATGAGTATTTATGCGTGTGCGCTAAAAGTGGATATATTGTGATTAAAATGGTTGACGATATGTAGGTCGTCTTATTAGAATACAGAAAAATGAAATGTTTGTATTTTAATGAATATGTCAAGTTGTATTGTTGTGCTTCTCATGATCGTAACAATTGTGTATATGATACCATTTGATCCGAACGTCATAATTAGTTTTTTTTAATACAAAATATATAAACAAGATTTGGAATTCATTACAATATAAATAATAAGGAGATATGATATGATTGCAAATAATACAATTATCCATCCGAGTCTCTAACCCTAACCTTAACATGGCGTGAATGTAATCAATTCGCTCGTCTACATAAAATTCATCAGAGGTAGTCGAATGAATCAAATCAATAAGAAGGCCAAATCGTTAACGAAGTTAAAAAGCATTGAAAATCTACCAAAAACAATTGAAAAAAAATGTTGTGCAAAATATTCCTAAGGTCATCAATATGGCGGTAGGAAGAACACATTTGTGCTTCGAGAAATATTGAAATTTTACCAAATCATTATCTAATGGGAGTTAATTGAATAGAAAAACAGAGGATATGGGTATCCTTCCATGACACAAAATCAGTACATACACAGTAAAATAGACACATAAAGCAAACAACAGCGCTTTTTGTGCTGTTCTTCATCTCACAGTGAGGCCTTCAACACGGACCAAACAAACTCCTATTTTACTGCAAGTTTAAATCAGCCCCTAACACCGGTTTGAGCGGAATTCTTTGCAAATAATTCGGCCAGGCTTTGTAAGATGTTACACCACGGGCGCGGTCAAAATGAACATACTGGAAAGTTGTACATATCTAAAACATTTATTTCTTACGCATAGGTGTAAAAATATATGAATGAAGAGGTTTATTCAACTGTCGGCATACATCATCGATGCTGCTGGATATTTGTTTATTGGACAGGTTATAACATTAACATTCTGTCCCAAGTTTTATTTTTTTATTTATTGTTATATTTTTTTGTTTTTATTTTCAGGTGGATCAAGTTATCCAAAGAGAGGTAATTATATTTGTCTAATTTAAAAATAAAGTTTTCATAATATCAATATAACTTCCTAACAAAAATGGTCTTGAGTTTTGACTGGTCCAATTTTTATAGATTGTTTTAGACTTTGGCCAGATATAAAAGGTCATTTTGATCGGAACAGCTCTTAAAAGATAAAACAATAACTTATTCCGTCAAGTCTGAAAATTGACTGAAAAGCTGAACATGCTTGAATGATTTATTGTTCAGACTTTTTAGATCCTTGTAGAGATCAGAATGACCGTTTCAGACTAATATTCACGTACTAGTGTTTTCCTCTAAATATGCAACATGTTTATTATTTTTCAGATGTCACAAGAACGGATACTCTTGAATCCAGTACTGCTCAAATAACTTATATGCATTCTACAGGTGGATTGCTATATTTCTTTCTGATAGTGTTACATGTAGTATGGTGATACAAGAGCTGCAGTAATATATGAATCCGAGGTGCCTTAATAACTATATTTATTATACAAAAAAAACACTTTGGTTTAGAAGCGATCCTTGTCAAATGCGGTGAATCTGAACCAGAACTTGAAGTTGAGTACTCAATTGAATATGTATGATAACCTTATGTCATTCATACGAAATAGATAACGTGTAAGACTACTAGAACAAACTACACGAAGTTCTGTGAGTAGTTTGGAGTAAAAGTAATGTGAACGTAATTATGTAAGACTACAAGGATAAAATACACGAGGTTCTTCGAGGAGTTTGGAGTAAAAGTAATATGAAGATCATTGTGTCAGACTACTAGAATAAAACAGAAATTTATCGAAGAGTTTTGAGTTAAAGTAATGTGAACGTGAACGTATAAGACTACTAGAAAACATACACTTAGTTATTCGAAGAGTTTGGAGTAAAAGTTATGTAAACGTGAAAGGGTAAGACTACTAGAATAAAATCAACATTAACGATGGTACCGTTTCAATGATTTCGGTCGGATCTTTGTGATTCAAGGGAATGCGCCTGACATGGACTAACATATTATGCGGTTTTTGATAAATTGCAAAAAAAAAATATCAATGGCAGTTAACACAGAGATAAATCATCCAATTGTTCAAAGACTTAACAGGCGGTTATCAAATTGTACTATGTATATTCTTAATATAAGAAAATTACTTATAAAATGGCTAAATATTATATGACCTAATTTTCTTAGTTTGAATAAAAAAAATTATGATAAAGCAGAATGGATACAAGGTCAATGAAACAGTACCTTATTAAACACATACAACCAAATGAGACATTATAAGTTATGTAAGTTAATAATCGTAGATATGGATATTTTAAAACTCTTAAGTATCCCATTACACCCTGAGGCGAAGCCGAAGGTTAAAAGGGGTACTGAAGGGTGTGCGAATCGGGCAATAATTAGGGAATTCGGGCACAAAGCGTAACGTGTTTTAATTGTTCAAAAAAGTTTTATTGATTTTTGGGAAGTAGACATTTTTAGTAGAACCCTACAGGTTGTCAAATATAAGACCTTTTAAATCCTTAAAAACTAGAATAAATCATATTAAGTGCTTAATATTGCAAGCTTCAAGTCATAGACGGAGTGGCGTTTACAAGGGTCATTTGCATAACCAAAAAACCCAAAACACGTTCAGTTGTCCCGTTCATTGACGACGTGGTAGCAACGTGTCGAATTTAATAAAAAGAATGTGGATGACCAATTTAATTACAAAAATCTAGAATAATCTATAGAATGCAAATTGTTTAATTTTTTGTAAAAAATTCCATCTTCCATTTGGGAAGCAAAACGCTTTGTCATTTTGAATATTGATGCCAATACCGTAGAAAAGCGCAAGTTCACTGAGGTAATGGGTACCATCGCCTTAGTTATATATTAGCAACACCCGGGTTAAAGGGTTTTTAAATGACGTGCCACCAGTCAATCGAAATCCGAGAAATATACTAAGCTGGGGATAGTCAGAGGTGTAAACTTATTATTGACTATTAAAGTGAAAGGTTTACTCTTTAAAATACTAGTAAGGATATGAGGTCACTTACAAATGAAAACAACGTTTTGCGATTTGTTTGTTTAAAAAGAGTGTAGAAGAAAAAGGCAATTAACAAATGAGTAAAAGGAAAAGCATACATTAAGGCAAAAAAAAGGAATACAAAGACTTTGAGATGACGAAAAGCAATAAAAGCGCTGTTTCTTTCCTTTTTTGTGTGTGTTTTATTTTGTGCATGTACTGATTTTGTGTCATTGTTGGATACCCCATACCCTTTTTGTTTTTATATTACACAAAAACCTGCAAAACATTACATGGAAAAGTATACAAGAATGGAAACTTTCGAGGGGAACTTTAAGAAATTGAAAGATCGTAAACCTGATAATACTAGAAGTTATTTCAATAACCAATTCCTTGATCAAAGCCGCAGAAATTATCAAAGGTTTAACTCAAGGGGTTGATGTATGATTAACTTTGGCATCTGGGCTACGAAGGGACAAACCAGAAACTTCTACAGCCCTGAGAATAAGCCTAGTCCTAACCTTTTAGATACTTGTATAAAGAGCATGTTTGGCGCAGCATAAGATTAGGTTAGCAAAAATCTTTTATTTACATACATGATACAACGTGTAAAAGTTTGATTGATACTAGGTCCATACTAGCAACAATATTTAAAGATATCATGAATGAAATATTTAAAACCTGCACTTCAATTGAAAAGTTTAGGGTATTAATTGTAGTGCAAGGAGAGACCACTTTTTGACGATACATAAGAGGTACGATAAAGGTTCATTTTGTACAGCAAGATTTTCTTGTTCCACTGATATCTGTTTTGAGTGTTTTGGGTTTTTGAATGTATAAGACACTACCAGTCTATATAGTTATAACTAGAACTGTGAAAAACGACTTAACAGGTGTGTCGGTTTGTCCACGGTTAGTTTACGTCAACTGGTCGGTCAACCTGTCGTATTCCTGCTATAGTGTTTTGCAAAACTACTAAAGCTATGGTAATAAAACCCAAACCACACTTTGTCAGATAATGAGTTGTCCTCTCTGGGTATTTATTTAGAGGATGTCGGTGCACATTATGAAATTAAACTGTGATTAAAGGATTTGGTAGTAAGTGGAAGTCTATTTTCTCTAGGTCTCACAGACATAAGACTCACATTTCTGATTATAAATCCTTTAGACAAGCATACAGGCGTATTCAAGAAGCGGTGTTATCATTTACTTGTCATTTTGGTATATTGAACAGACCTAGAGACTATTCATCACGTGGAGGTCGATTTATGGAGTGAAATCTTGTTTTCGTTTGAATATAAATTTTATTTGTGGTTCAATTATTTCTTTCAGGGGTTTTTACATGCAGTTTTATGCTCAGTTTTGAAGCGGCAGCGTTTAAATGGTCATACAACTATATCCCATTTGATGACACAGATCATCCCAAATACCAATTACGAGGGTTAGCGTGTCGTATCGTACAACGGCCAGTATTTATGTTATGTGGCAGAAAATATGTATTAAGCGTATACAGAAGTTGGTGTTAATTTTGCCGGAAGTTGGTGTTTAATTTACCGGACGTTGATGTAAATTGCTTGGTAGTTCCGCTTAATTTGAGAAACCGGAAGATATTGATATAATATAAATTGCCAGAGGCATTGTAGAGTAAATGTTGTTTATATTCATGATTCACAATATAAGTTTAAAGGTTGGTCATTGAAAAAATCATCATGATATCAACCGGAAGTGTCATGTCAGTAGAAAGCTGTGAAATAAGTGCAATATTAAATGAAGTAAATATATAGTGAGCCATACACCTTATTGCAGTTGATATAGTTATATAAGTCAATATTAAATCAGTGAAATGTTTTGTAAAGTTAAATTTAAATTAATTCGATCTGAAAGTAATTGAAGTTCCAAGTACAGAAATGTCCTAGATCAAGACTGCAATCAGAGTGTATGGTAGTAGCTGTGATGACACATATTTTGCTGATTTGTTTTAATATTTACTAACCAACTTTTTAGTTGTGTGTATTATGTTTGAATTTTGACTTTTTGTTTGTAATCATTTTTCCATTTGCATGTCCATTGATTTGTGTTCATTTGCATGTTGTAATTGTGTTTAGTTTTGTTTGATTTTTGTTCAGTTTAGTTTTAGTAAAAATATTATTTTTTACTTTTGTTTCTATGAATGTTGGCCATCTGACAATCCGATTATCCTACGTCTTTACCCTGACCCGTTAAACAATTACTAATCTCCTAGCAAAACTGTAAACAAATCGAAAGTGAAAGTAAAACAATAGGTCATATCCAACTAAGTAAGACATCACGTGACCTTGGTGACGTATACGAACCGCCATTTTGTGTCATTTTGTCCCATATAAAATGCATAGGTGCTTCATTGAAGTTCAATTTTCTCATTAATCTGACCCGTTTTCTAACTTTTGTAACTATATCCTTGGTATTCGAACATAATTCTACCTAAAAGTGTTGGTTCTGACAGTATAATTTTTTATTAAATTACGTCCTTGGAGATTCGTAAAACTCGTACTTTTCCTCGTCATTTCTCCGTTGACTCAATGGTAAATCTAGCGACCCCATGTCTACTTGTACATTAAATTCACAAATTCCGTAAATAAAAGTAATACTTTGCAACTCGATTGAGAATATTAAAACATATATCTGGCGAAATATTCTACTGAAAACAGTTTAAATTGAGGGCAAATTACGTCCCACATCGATTTGAAAAAGTGATTTTTTCGGGATTTTTCAAAATGGCGGATGTGTTTGGAAATTTCGCATGTATTTTTCATGCAGAATTTGTGCCGTTTATTTATTTTCTTTTTTGATATTTTGATGTGTTTGATTTCAAAATTTCTTGATCAAAAATTAAATTATTTCAAGTGTGAAGTGAAAAAACAAATTAACACTGAAATTTATCAGAAAATGATTTTTCATTTTTTTTTTAGGTTTTTCCCCTTTTTCTCTTGTATAATTTATCTTTATTTAGAAAAATTCATATATTCTTTTAAAAAAAAATGTTTTCGTCTAAAGAGAAAAAAATATGCCCAATAATAGATAAATGCTCTGTTCCTTTTAAAGTTAATGTCCCTTGACCAATATACGAACAGGTGAACTCAGATTTAGGTTATAATGTTACATAATAACTAATCATCAGATAATGTAAGGGAATCGTGTCAAACCAAAGGCCATCAGGTGACATTAACATCCTGTGTACACATGTATTTCCAGAGTTTAGTTTTTAGTGATATACAAAAGTTTTCTGAAATGTACAAATAAATATTTTCCCTTTTCCGTGTACACTACCGAAGAAATGTATATCATAAAGAACTTTGAGAAAATATGAATATTATGAAAAATTATTCGATAATTTGATTTTGACTATTAAGAAAAATAACCAAATATTAATGTTTCACGATAATTGTTTTAAAGAAATACTCTAATTCAAATTTTATATCTAATATATTTTTTTTATTTCATAGAAAATTAAACAAGACTTAAATGCATATGATTTTTGACATTTACTTTTTAAATGCAATGTTTTAAACAAATTTCAGGCATTAAAAACAAAATTGATATTGAAATTTTAACTTTTGTACAAAAATATGATATTGCATACATTTCAACATTGTATACACGCCAATGTTTATCGACAGAGTTATCGGTACTGAATAGGACTGATATAGTTGGGTATGGCATAAATTGAGGGGATGAATGATATTCCTTTCTGTTGGACTTAACAATTGGATTATAAAATAAGCTAGGAACAGGTAAGTTTACAATTTATCACATTATGGCATTGTTTATAAATAAAGGCAACAGTAGTATACCGCTGTTCAATAGTCATAATTCGATTAGGTAAAAACAAAGCCGGGTAACAAAATAAACCCAAGGGAAACACATCAACTATAAAAGGAAAACAACGGAACAACAGAAACACTGAACTACAACAAAAGCAAACGCCAACATACTCTCTATTTCCGTGTGACCCTGTGATCTCTGGTGGCCGACTCTAGCACCAGGAAGGCATTGTTTCAATATATTATCTTGAAACAAATATACGGGTCGAGGAGCACTTTTTGGGTGTTTATTACAGGTTACGTATTTGGATAACAAAGTTACCATATTATTGTTTATACCT